ACAATTCCCTGTTTTCCTCCTGATTATCTGCTCTTCTGGACAGCTTGTGATCTGTGTCTTCTGGTTTGTCTTTTACCCACCATTCCAAGAGTATGACACCCAAGTAGAGACGGGGAAGATGATATTACAGTGTAACGAGGGCTCTGTCACTGCTTTCTACATTCTGATTGGCTACATGGGAGGTCTGGCCGTGTTCAGCTTTATTGTAGCATTTTTAGCCAGGAAACTTCCCGACACTTTCAATGAAGCTCAGTACATCACATTCAGCATGCTGGTCTTCTGCAGTGTTTGGATCTCCTTCATCCCAGCCTACCTCAGCACCAAAGGGAGATACATGGTGGCTGTGGAGGTCTTTGCCATCTTGTCCTCCAGTGCTGGACTCCTGGGCTGCATCGTCATTCCCAAATGTTACATCATTCTGATGAGACCGGAGCTGAATGTGAAGGCGACTGTAGCCCAAAGAAAAGCACTTCAGTAAAAATATAAAATACTTTTTGGCATTAAACGTAATGCTGTGACACATGGAATAAAAATTGTAGAAAAATAAATTGCTTCCCATGAGAATGTAGTTTGGAAAAAGCCGTTGGTTATTGATTAAAAATACAAAAACAACATCTGAAATGAGATATAAATACAAAAAAAGAAAACAACAGCCGATAAAAGCCACTCAGGATAAATATAGGATCAGTGACTCTTCTCTCTCTATTTAGCTTCAATTTGGGTTTCATTCAGTGACAGCATGTTGGAAAGAAAACAGCTTGTGGTGTGTTCCCATAGTGCTCTGATGATCCTTTTTCATGGGGAACCCTCTGTTATATCTTTATTTGTAAAACATATGTATCATATATCAGATTAAAATGTGCTTCTATCAAAGTTACCCGTGATTATGTCGTAAGATTCTTTGTGGACTTAAGGTCAAGAACATGGTAGCATGCAGTAAGGTCAAGAACATGGTAGCATGCAGTATGATATTCAATTAACTTTGAATGAGCACATTTATTTGTGTTTTATCCCTTTTAAAATGCTGCAAGTACAGATACATACCTGTTGATCTGCCACAAATCTTGCATGCTCCTAACTTCCTGTTTCATCTGACAACATACTGCTTCTTCTGGACTAAAATTATATTTAACATGTTCTTATAATGTATATAATGTTCTTATGAAAACTGGAGGTTGACTGAAGTCTGGAGGAATGTCATGCCGCAAAGCAGAGTGTGTCCGGGGGAATTTGTGCCTATTCAGCCAAAAGAGCATTTGTGAGGTCAGGTTGTGAGGTCAGGTCCTGATGTTGGAGGAGAAGACCCGGCTCACAATCGGTGTTCCAGTTCATGTCAAAGGTGTTCAGTATGAAGAAATTTAAGTGTCCTGCACAGAGCCCTGACCTCAACCCAAATGAACAAGTCAAATCATGTCTTTATGAAGTTGGCTTTGTGCACAGGGGGAACAATCATGCTGAAACAGAAAAGGGTTTTCCCCAAACTATTGCTGCAAGATTGACAGCTTGTTATGGTCTATAATCCTTTGTATACTGTAGCATTAACAATACCCTTCACTGGAAACATCTGAAAATAATTCGGTGAAGTTGTCCACATACTTTGGTCATATCCTACCAATATATGTATTTACAGGTAACGTTAATCTATATATAAACTTTCCTTCTGATTAAGGGTTTTTAATGCCATTTAGTGCCTTTAGTGGGTGGATTCGGTCTGCAGAATATCCAGTCTTGCTGTCCTGATGGCCATTGATTGGCAACTCATACATGCTCCTACATTCATTGGATGGGGGTTGCCTCCCTGGACCCTTCTACTTCTGTCCAGCCATAGAGCGGTTCTGAACAGTGAACAGTGACATCACTGGTAATCAAAAATCATGGATATCCGCAGGACAGTTCCTTTAGAATTCCAACTCTTGAAGTCACTAGTGAGGGACAGCAACATGGGACGAGTGGAGTATCTCTGGTCTGGAGTAAGTAACATTGGATGGGAGGGGAATGTATTGCCACTAAATACCAGTGTACACATATTCATTAAGCACCAATGCAAAAAAGTGTTCTTACCACTGATTGTCAATGCAAATTTATTCTTGCCAATGAACACCAACAAAAATATATTTTTGCCACTGAGAGTCGATGCAAAATTATTGTTTCCACTAATTATTTATACAGCAAAAAACAAACATGATTTCCACATTAAAATATTATTATTATGGGTTTTTTTTCCATATATTTATTATTATATTTACAATTATATTTTCTATAGTAACTATGCTGATTTATTGTGAGCAGTAGGTCTGACAATTATTTTGAGGGATCTCTGAGAGCTTAAAGGAGAAGTTCACCTTTTGCAAAAATTAAAGAAATGCATCATTAATAATATATATTAAAAAATATGCATTTTTTTAATATTTGCATTGAAGCCTGGAAAGCATTGCAATTGTGAACACTCGATCACAGCTGCAAAGCTCAGGCTTCTGCACATCTTCAAACTGGCAGAGCTCGTACAGAGGCGGAGTTTCAGTTGAAGCTGGCCATACACCTTACTACCATTGCACGACTTTCGTTGTGCTATGGTTGTTAGGTCATTAAAATGTCGTACGACCTTGTGCTGTTTCCACATCATAGTCTTTTAGTTCCCCACTCATTTTCTGGTAGGGGAACCCTGAGGATGAGTGAAAATCAAACTATCACACGTCGGCTCAAAAGATTGGGAAGTGAGCGAATACATACCGTCGCTCGCTCACTTCTCGATCCTGTCCCTGCAGAGAGCCGTGGCTGTCACGGCTCCCTGCAGGGATTCCCCCCCACGCTCCAATCCTCCAACGGAGCAGAGCCAGCTGTCACTCACGCAGCTGGGTGGATCTTGACAGTAATGTCAGGATCCGTCCTAGCTGCGGCGTCTCAGTATACTGCGAGCTACTGAGCTTTGGGTGACGGGAGGACGCTAGTTTGCGTCCTCCCGTGACCCTTAGGAGAACTATGGGGAAAAACACTTATGCATTTTTCTTTAAAGGAGAACTATGGGGTAATACCCACCAGCTAATATTGTTGTAACTGAATGAAGAGATATTAGACACCTGGGGCAACCTGATTGCCAAATCAGTGGAACCACCACCATGTCTAGGCTCCCACCGTTTGTTTTTGGCGTCTGCAGTATTTGCAGTGGCACAGGGGTCTGTTTCCTCCCTCCTGGTTTTAGAATGAAGCATTGTCTGTTTCCCCTTTTCCCAGACCTAGAAGGGAGTGTGTTCTATTTCTGCCCTGTCTGTTTTTAGAAGGATGGTTGTCTTTTGACCTCTGCCTGGTTCTTATGGAAGTCTCATCCCCCCCCCCCCCCCGTTTT